GCACCGGGTGCATTTCCGCCTGTCTGGGGCAGAGCAGAAGGCGGCCCTTCGGGGAAGGCAAAGGAAAGGAGGCACGGGGCACAGAAACATGGGGGGGGGCGCAGAGGGAAGAAACGGGGGGGGGACGGGTGTCTCCGCCCCCCACTTGGAAGATATTGGCTGGGGCTTGCATTCCAAGGCCGGCTGGAAGATACTGGTGGGGGGTGCGGCATTTTGGGAGTCTTCTGGATGGGGTGGGGGGCAAATTTGCAATGCTCTGGCCAGTTGTAGGATTGCAAATCGGGAGTGGATCTCCTGAGCCTCTATTCCTCTTCTTGCTCCCTACGCCCCCCCCCCATCATTGCCCTGTTGAGGAGCATCTGCCTGCCCCCTGCTGGCCCCTCTTCAGTTTCGTCTTGACAAGAAGCCTGGGGGGGGCGGTGTTTTGGCGCCTCCCGTCAAGCCAGCCCCTCCCCCGTCCTTCCCCCCCCACCCCCCGGGCTAGGATCCCTTCTGTGCCCCCCGGGCGCTGCTCAGATCTGTGGGTTCTAGAGTGCCAGCCGCCCCTCCCCCACACCGGGTGCGTGTGTGTGACGCGTTCAAGAGGCTGAAGCGTGCAAAGGTAGAGCAGGAGAATCCCGTCGTCAGGCGTCTTTGCTCAAGAGGGCAACTTCTTGCTTTATGTTACATTTTTTATTTCAGCTTTTTCAAATTATGTCATCTCATATGGACGTTTGAGTCTTTTACGACTGAAGGGTTTTAAAAAAAGGAGTTAAATCAAATAAACGTAATTCTTATATCCTCCTTGGTGTCCAGCCGGTTCGTGAAAGATGACCGACAGCGACCAGTTTCCTCCCTGGGCGGCGAGTCGTTCGGTGGCTCCTGAAATTGCGGGTGGGCCTGGCACCGCCCGGTGTGGGTGGGAGGGGATGGTCAAAGAGAGGGTCTCCCTACTCAGGAAAGCAAGGCAGAGCAAGCAACCCCCACCCCGTGCCCCACCCACTCAGCCATTACCCAGAAAGTCACTGAATGCCTGTTGGGAAAGAACCAGAGGGAGACGCTGCCCAGGCCTCCTGGGAGAGCAGAGCCCCAGGAGCCCCTCCCCATCCTGCCTGGCATCAGCACACTGCCCTGGATCAACCACCAGAGGGCACCCACTGCTGCCCCCGCAAAGCCCCCTGCCCAGCCATTCAGCCCCTGCCTGGAGCAGTCTGGCCGGTGCCCATGGAGTCTCCCCTGGCATCGCCTGCCTGGTTCAACACACACAGGCAGCCCTGGGCGCTTTCAGGGTGCAAGTTTCTGGATGCATCTCACTCACCCCCACCCCCCCCCCCACCCGTTCTGTGTGTGGCTGGCTGTTGAAACTTAGTTTGGTGGCCGAGTTCCAGGTTTGCCTCAAATGGGGGGGGATAGAGAAACAGTCGGGAATTTCCAAAACTGAACATTTAATTGATGCTCCCTGCTCGAGCTGCTGTTTGTGCTCCTTTTCCTTCCTCTTACTCCGTACTGGATTTTTGCTTTTGGCATTATTTTATTTTGGGCTGCTTGAAGGCCTGCTGGCTGCCATTGTTCCTCCGGGGCAGGGGACTCCACGTGCCCTTAAGAGTCGAGGCCCAGGCGGCCGGCCCGTGCCTTGGTGCCACCCACCTTAGTGCTTCTAAGCAAAGCAACCACAGGCATGTCAAAAGTTCCTGCATGAGTCAGAGTCTGGCAGTTTCTAGAAGGAACCGCTTTGGCGGCTGACCTGGTGATTTGTTCCTGTTCTTTGGGCCCCTTCCGAGGCTCCATCCCGTCCCTTGCGACACTCACCTGCTGGGCTTTGTGGTCCTTGGCCGTTCCGCTCTTCTTCCCCTTTTTGGCTGCCCCACCCTGCAGCCCTCGAGACCTGTACGTGAAGCCTCCCAGGATCAGCTGTGCCCCCCATCCTAGCCCCCATTGTGACATCTCAGCCCTTGCCCCCTCCCTGTTGCTAGGACGCCACTGCAGCAGTTTGCAGCTGCCCCTCTGGGGTCAGGACTCCCCATATCCCCCAGACCCCAATCCGCTTCCTGGCCTCCTTGAGTTCTGGATCCCCCTCCCCTCCCCCCCTTTTGCAGCAAGGAGGCAGATCTCCGGCGGCCCCGCCAAACACCAGGATTCAAACCCAGGCCATCCACACACCAGCAGGCTGGGCAATGGGGCTCTTTCCTGCTGCACCGCCACCATGCCCTTCTCTAGCTGGCCACAGGCTGTTTAAGGGCAAAGGGGCACCAGAAGATCGGAGGGCTCGTGCCTGCAGTAGGGACGTTTCCACTCTCGCCTCCAGTGGGGCTGTTGGGCTTTTGACATTTTGAAACGCTGCCTCGAAGCCAGGCGGCTAAACGGAAGTGAGCCTCCAACACAGCAACTGATGCAAGCAGCTTGTGGTTTTTATTTAGGAGGCAGGCAATGTTTGGTGAACGCCGTTTGTTCATTTCCAAAAAGACTCGGTGGAAAAGTCCAGAATTGCACCCCACGAGTCAAACCCCAAGGTCTACTTCATTGGGGGGGGGTCCTTTGTGGTGCCAGGAAAGTCCTGCCCCTTCTGGGAATCCAGGAGATGCAAATCAGATTGCAGCCCTCTTCCTGGGAGGGGCACAAAAGCCCCTTCTTGTACCCAGGGAAGAAACAGGCAGTGCTGCACTCCGGCTTCCCCCTAAACCAGGTTTGTTCATTCACCATTTAATTAAACCAGGATCAATGTCCAGTTGAGGACCTTGCAGTGTTAAGACTGCCAATAAAGGAGAATATATATTATTATTATTATTATTATTTATTTATTCAATTTATATACCGCCCTTCTCCTAGTGGACTCAGGGCGGTGCACAGCCAAAACTAAAATACATAACAATACAAAATTTAAAATTAATTAAAAGAATTATATACTTTGGCCCGAATTAAAACAGTGCGAATTAAAACCCATTAACAAATTAAAACTAAACAATTAATAACCATTAAAAAACTAAAAAAGGGGGCGGGGTTCACGCCAGCCCTGCTTGCTGGAAAAGAAGAGTTTTCAGGGCACGGCGAAAGACCGGAGATCCGATATCCTTATCTCCGGGGGCAAATCGTTCCAGAGGGCGGGGGCTGCCACAGAGAAGGCCCTCCCCCTGGGGGTCGCCAGCCGACATTACCTGGCCGACGGCACCCTGAGGAGTCCCTCTCTGTGGGAGCGTACTGGTCGATGGGAGGCTATAGGCGGCAGAAGGCGGTCCCGCAAATACCCAGGTCCTCTGCCATGGAGCGCTTTAAAGGTGGTGACCAACACCTTGAACCCGGAAGACCACTGGAAGCCAATGCAGCTCACACAGGAGAGGTGTCACATGGGAGCGACCCCTCGCTCCCATAATCCCCGCGCGGCCGCATTCTGCACCAGTTGGAGCCTCCGGGTGCTCCTCAAGGGGAGCCCCATGTAGAGAGCATTGCAGTAGTCCAGGCGGGAAGTGACGAGCGCCTGAGTGACCGTGCATAAGGAGTCCCAATCCAGAAAGGGACGCAACTGGCGAATCAGGCGGACCTGATAAAAAGCCCCCCTGGCCACGGCCGTCATGTGCTCTTCTAAAGACAGCCGTGCATCCAGGAGGACACCCAAGTTGCGAGACCTCTCCGTGGGGCCAATAACTCGCCCCCAATAGCCAGCGATGGCACCAGCTGGCTATATCGGGACGCCGGAAGCCACAGCCACTCGGTCTTGGAAAGGTTGAGTCGGAGCCTGTTCCTCCCCATCCAGACCTGCACGGCCTCCAGGCACTGGGACATCACTTCAAGGGCATATATAGCTCAGGGGTGAATTAAGGGGATCCCTGGTGATCTCTGAACTGGGTTTCTTTTTTTTGCAAACGTTTCATGACCCAACTAGGTTATATCATCAGTGCTAGAAAATGTTACTGCTAACTCTGATGATGTTACTTAGTTTGGGTCATGAAAAGTCTGCAAGAAAAGAACCAGCTCAGAGAGTACCAGGGAGCCCTCCGTTAGGACTGCAGAAGGCTGGTGGCAGATCTGATGGCCCGGTGGGGTTTCCTCAGGCAGGAGGGCAGTTGAGGGGGGCAAGGAGGGTGCTGGCCTCGCCATCTCCTCTGATAATGAGGTGGAGCACCTGGGCCCCGGTAAGGCCCAGCAAGAGGATCCTGCAGAAGCTCCCCCTCCCCCAGGTCAGCTGAGTGGGACATGAGGGGCTGCAGACAATCTCTGACACGCTCTGGGCTCCAAGAAAGCCTCCAGGCTGCTAGCAAAGTGCCCCACAAATCCTTTGCCAGCCAGCCGGGACTTGGTGGGCATCGCAGGGAGGGCCTGCCCAGCACCAGCCCTGCAGTGGCAGACAAAGCAGCTGCCTCCAGGCGCCCTTCCCCTCCCGCCCCCCCGGGGTCTCGGCAGCCTTTCCCAAGGGCTGACCTCCACTCACAGCCGCAAGAGGGGCTGAGCCGGGGAGGGGGAGGGGATCACACCAGAAAGGGTCCCGCGCCCCAGGTGCTCCCCACACACGGCCCCCGCCCCCCCCCCCGCCAGAGAAGGCGAACCTTTGCAGGGCCGCCGCCTCGCCCGCCTTTAGTCCGCCGGACAACCTCCCCGCCCCCTCCTTCCATTCGGAAAGCCAGTTCCGATCGGACGCCCCCCACGGCCGCCCGCTGCCCCCTCCGCCTCCCGGGCCTCCTGGGGCAGCCAGTCCGCGGCGGGGCGGGGCGGGGGGGGAGCCCAGGCTCGGCTACGGCTGAGGGACGAGCAGAGAGGCCGGCGCCCCCTCCCCCCCCTCCGCCTCCCCCCCCTCCCCCCGGGCCGCGCTCCCCAGCGCCAGGAATGGAGGGGAGGAGCGCCTGCGCGGCCCCGCCCCCCGCTTCCTCCTCCTCCTCCTCCTCCTCCTCCTGCTGCTGCTGGTCGGGCGCTCGGCTGCCTCCTCCAGTCCTCGGCGCAGTCCGCTCCTGAGCTGCTCCCCGACGCCTCGCCCGGCGCGCCAGGAAAGCCCCGCGGCGACCCCCGCCGGCCCCGCTCCTCCGCCCGGCCCCGCGCCCGCCGCCCCCGCCGCCGCCTCGCTCGCCCCGCTCCTCCGGCGCCCCAGCCGTCGCGCCTCGCTCGCTGCGGCCATGAGCGGCTGGAGCTGCTACATCGACAGCCTGATGGCCGACAACACCTGCCAGGACGCGGCCATCGTGGGCTACAAGGACGCGCCCTCCGTCTGGGCCTCCGCCCGGGCAAGACCTTCGCCGGCATCACGGTGAGCGGCGGCCGGACCGCGGCGCTTCCGCTTCCTCTTCCGCCGCCCCCGCCGGGCCGCCTTTGTGCCGCCCGCGGGGCTCCGCTCGGCTCTCCGGCCCGGCTCGGCTCCGGCCGGGAAGCGCCAGGGGCGGCGGTGGGGGGGGGTGGGGGTCGGGCCCAGCGAGGGGGGGCCGGGCGGAGGGCGGGAGGCGCCCCCGGAGAGAACTTCCCTGCCGCGCCCCTCTCCGCCCCGCCCCCCGCGGGCATGTGGCGCCCCTCGCCGCTTCCGCCGCCGCCTGCAGGGCGCTTCCCGGGACGGACGGGCGGGCGGGAGACCGAGGCCGCGCTGCCCTCTCGGCCGGGCCCTCCCCGCCCTCCCCTGGTGCCACGTCCCCACGGCCGCGGCTCGGCCCTCCTGGTGCCCCGGATCCCCGTCTCGGCGCGAGGGAGAAGCCGGGCAGCCCCGCGGCCTTCCCTCCCTCCCTCCCTTGCGGGCTTCCCCGGGCGGCGCCAGGCGAGGCGAGGGCGGCCGGGAGGCTCCGTCACTCGGCTTAGCGGAAGGGCGAGCGGGGGGAGGGGAGGCCGGAAGCGCCGCGTCTCGGGGGCTCCCGCGGGGGAGGGCGGCCTGGCGGGGCTCGGGGCGGGAGGCGATGGAAGCGGCCTTCGCAGACTCCCCGGGGGCCTCCGCCTTGCGCTTCCGGGCCGCCCTTCCCGCCCCGTGGCCGCTTGCGGGGAAGCCCGGCCGCCGCTCTCCGGCAGCCCCGCGGGGCGCTTCGTGTCGGGCGCCGAGCCTGGAGCGGTTGGGGGTCCCGCCGTCCCGCCTGGGCCGCTTCTGCTTGCGGGGAGGGCCCGGCTGAGGGAGTCGGGAGGCCTCGGGGACTGACCGGCGCCCGCTTCCCTCCTGCAGCCCGCGGAAGTGAACGTGCTGGTGGGGAAGGACCGCAGCAACCTCTTCGTCAACGGGCTGACGCTGGGCGGGCAGAAGTGCTCCGTCATCCGGGACAGCCTCCACATGGACGGCGAGAGCACCATGGACCTGCGGACAAAGAGCACCGGCGGGGCCCCCACCTACAACATCACGGCCGCCATGACCAACAAGAGTGAGTCAGGGAGGGGGAGGGGCGGCCGCAGCTGCCCGGCTTGCCCCGCTGGGAGGGGCCGCATTCCTTCCCTGCCCGCAGCTGTGAGGGGGGCTGGGGGGGGGCAGGGGAGCAGACAACTGTGGCTTAAGGCAGCCCCGTCTTCCGGCCCAGAAGGGCCATAAATCTGGCTCGGGGCCAGCCCGTGGGGGAGGGGGGCAGAGGAGCTTGGACTTTCCAGACCCAGGGGGTTCCTTGGGGGGGGCATCCCATGGCTGTAGCCGATCAGAGCCCATTGCCCCCCCCCATTACCTTTCCCCTGCCTAGTTAAACCAATGCTGCATTCCAGACCCTCAGCTGCGCCCTGCATCTGTGTAGGTCCCTAAATGGAACGGCTCTAATCTTCCTGGGCACCCGGTTTCTTTAACTCCCCCGCCATAATCGGTGACCACCCCCCAGCCCGTATTTGGCAGAGGACTCGCTTGGGGGGGGAGGACTCTCTTGCCTGGCTTTGCCACTGACAGCTTCTCTCCCCCCTGCAGCAATCGTGCTCGTGATGGGCAAGGAGGGCATTCATGGCGGTTGCATCAACAAGAAGTGTTACGAGATGGCCAACCACTTGCGGCGGTCGCAGTATTGACCCGCCTGCTGGTCCCATCTGTGGTACTACTGATGGAACGGTGTGAGGATGTCCAAGACGGCAGCGACCGCCCGGGGCGCCCGGCCTTGCCACTGCGGGACCAACCCCGGCACACGATCGCCGCTTATTCCAACTTTTCCTGCTCACAGCCTCTCCTTCCTCCTCCGCTTCTCCTGTTTTTTTCTAATGCCCCCACTCTGCCCCAAACCCCCCTCCTGCCCTCCATTTCTTTTTTGCCATTTTTTTTCTACCACAAATCCTTATTGCTGCCAAATTTTCTGGTTGTTACAAGGTGTAGCTTTTTTGACGAAGAAAACTATATTGGAACAAGAAAAAATAAAAATGAATTGAATTCTAACATGGGAGTTTCTCTGAACGTGGCGAGCGTGTTTCTCTCTCCCCCACTCCCCGGGTCTCCATCCCCTTGGACCTGCCCCCCGAGAGCAGGCCTGGAAAACAATGGTGAAGCCATCGGGGCTGGGACAGAAGCCTGCTTGTTTGTGCAGACAATGAGGGAGCTGCCCTCCAGCTCTGGCTGCAGAACAGGTCACTCTCTGTGGTCAGTTCAAAGAAGCCGGATGGATGAGGAGAGCCGGCCCTAGCCAGGAGCCAGAGGTGTTTTGCTCCCTGGCACTGGGAGCTGCTTGGATGGCATTCCCGGCCCTCTTGTGCGGCTGACCTGGCAGGCCGAGATTGAGCCCTCCTGCAGCCACACTGCTCCCAAATACGCAGCCAAGCCAGGTGTGTGGCCATAGCCCCCCCTCCCTTGCCTGTTCACTAGCACCCTTCTCCCTTTCCCCCCCCCTCCACACACACACTTGGAGGGAGGGCTTTGTCTCCTCTCTCCAAATTTGCTCACACCAGTTTCATTTGCTAAAGAAAAAGGGACGCAACAGACGGTAAATTGTATTTTTATTGATTGACTGGAGGGCTGCCTGCTCCTTCCATCTTCCCTTTGCCCTTGCACAGGCTGTGGCCCCCCTCCCACTGCTGCCCATTGGCAGAACCTGCCCAATCAGTTGGAAGTTGCTAAAAGTAAAAAATCCCCACCCCACCCCCGGGGTTTGGCAGCAGCCAGGGTGGCAGCAGCATGGTGGGAAAATTTTGGTGGGGGGGGGTTTCTCACCCCCCCTTTTCTGAAGGGCTGCTCTCTGTGGGAAAAGGGGGTCGGTTGGCACATAAGTGGTCCAGCCGAGGAAGCTAGGCCTGCACAGCAAAAGGGGTAGGGATCAAGGCCCTCTCCCCCAGGCTCTTTGGAAGCTGCTCCAGGCCCTCCTGCTTGGCAGTGTACCCAGAAGTGCAGGAGGCCTGGATTGTGTCTGCCCCCTCCCCCCCCCCCGCAAGAACGCTGGCTGGCAGAGGGCTGGGAGCAGCCCAAAGAGGGGCGATCTGGCGCCCAGGGTGCTTGCCACATGTCCTGCCAGGCTCAGCCGCCCACTGCTGCTTCTCTTGTGAAGACCTCCGTCTTCTACACCACACAAAGGGGGTGGGTGGGTGTGCAAGAACTAGGACCTTGCACTGCAAAGTGACAAATCCTGGAAGCCAGCCGGAGTGCCTTTCCCACCTGCACTGAGAGGAGGGGGCTTGCCTGCCCCCAGGAGGCAGGGTGAGAAAGGGCTAGGGCTGGGGCAGTGGCCTAGACCAGCAGCTGGTTCTGTGGGGGAGGACTGGGGGGCGCCTCCTCCCCACCCTCAGCCAGGAGCCCCTGGGGGCTGGAGGGCACTGACCGGGCCATGCTGCCAAAGCAGGGGGGAGCCACGGCTGTGCTGGGTGAGGGGCGCAACAAGGGGGTGCGCTCAGAATCATCGTCCTCTTCCTCCTCGTGCCCCAAGTCCAACGGCCCCACCTCACTCTGGGCAGGCACGGCCGGATCGCTGCCCTCTTCCCCTTCAGAGTCCGAGTCCTCCGGGGACCGGATGACCCGCTGCTTGCAAACCGGGCAGGTCTTCTTGGTTTGGGTCAGCCACGGATCCACACACTTGCAGTGGTAGGCTAGAGAGGATCAAAGGGTTCCAGGCTCACCCCTGTCCTCCACTGTGCCGCCCCACCAACCTTCGGCCCTCAGCCAGCCTGTGGAAAGCGGATGCTGGCCACCTCTGGCCAGGCTGGCCGCAGAGCCACCCCCTTGGGCAGACCACCGGCCAGCCCTTGGCTCACCGTGGGAGCACGGCAGGATTCGCAGCCTGTCCCCATCTTCGTACTCTTCCAGGCAGATGGCGCAGACGTCATACTCGTCCCCTGGGAGGAAAAGATGGGGGGCATCAGCCCCCCCAGCCATTTAGGGGCTCTTCCCCATTGCAAACGCCTGTGCCCAGAGTGCTCACGGGCGCCACTGGGCGGCCAGAGACTGGCGCAGGTTGGCCGGCAACCCTCTTGGGGCCAGGGAAGGGCACCCGGGAGTCTGGGGGCGGCCCCCGAGGGACCCCGGGAGGCTCTGCGCCCAGAGGAGGCCGGGCAAGGGGAGGAAGGGGAGCCCCGCGATCTTCGCGCGAATTTGCGGGCCACGAAAACAGGAAGCCGAGCTGGGCGGCTCGCAGCGGCCGCGAAGGGAAGTGGTCGGCGGGCGCCTCGGCGGAGCTCCAAAGAGCCGCGCGCCCGGCCTTATAAGGCAAGAGCTGCGCTGCGCTGGGCGGCCGCCGCTTCTTCCTTCCTGCCGCCCGACGCCGCCGGCCCCGCCCGGAAAAGCCGCCCCCCCGGCCCCCGTTCATCCCGCGGAGGGCAGAGGGGCGCAGCCCTCCCGCTGCCTCGCCTGGCCGGGCCGGCGGCGCTCGGGAGGGGAAGGGGGGCGGAAGGGTCTGGCATGGAGCAGCAGCAGCACCGGAGACCCCCTCCCGCGCGCCTCGGCCAAGGCGGCGCCCCAGCGGCCCCTGCCCGCGAGGCTCCCCGTCGGGAGGCCGGTCCGGTTGTCTCCGAGCGAGCCTCCCTAAACCTCGGAGCACGTGGCCCCGCGGATTCCGCTGGCTTGGATCCACGCAGGGTTTTTCCGCGGCTAGAACAGGCTTTATTAGTGCTCCAAATTAAGCGGAGCAGGGAAGCGGGGGGGGGTTCTCCATGTGGAGGGGGTCCCGGGGAATGGGGTGCCGACTGCGCCTTCCTGGAGGCTCCGTGGAGCCCTGGCTGCTGGGAAGGGCCAAGGAGCCCCTCCAGGCACGCCGAGGCTTGCTCAAAGCCCCCCCCCCCAGATCAAGGTCTTGCGGGCCCAAGATAAGGGGCGGCTCACAGAAGTGGTCGGCTGAATGCGATCCTCGGCATTCAGACCCCCCTCCTCCCCCCCTCCCCCCCCTCCTCCCCTCCTCCAGAGAGGACCCGCCTCTCTCTGCACCGGCCTCCAGGGCAGAAGCCTGGGACATGGCAGCCCCTCCCCCAAGCATGAAAAGGGAAGAAAATGCGGGGGGGGGGGGAACTGCAGTGCAGGGCTGGAGGGGAGCCAGGTGGGGCCCCCTCTGGCTGGGTCATCTGACTTCCCCTTCAGCCCTCCCCCCCCCCGCTATTTTGGGTATGCAAGGTGAGTGGAGGGAGGCAGGCCCCTCTTTCCCTCCCCCCCAGGACCCCCCCCTGACCTTTCTTGTACTTGTGCAGGGGGATCTTTTTCAGCTGCTCCTTGGACAGACGGTCCTTCCGCAGCCTCTTCCGATGTTGGATACACCGAACAATCTGCCACACAGGGGGGGGTTTGCCCAGATTCAAATCTTATTGCAGTTGGGGGGGGGGGATGGAATGCACACACAGATTCTGGAGAGCAGATCAGAACTGAAGCCTGACAGGATCACCACCCTGGTTGTCTCGCTATACAACCTGGCCCTGGCGAGTTGTTTGGCTGCACATTCTGCATTCTGGACTGTGGGGAAGGAGATGCTGCAGGGGGCTCCGATGAATTGTGCAGAATCAAGAGCCAGAAGCTCCCCCCTCGGCCTCCCCTGTGCCGGACCCCAGCGGCCCCTCACCAGGATGGTGCACATCACGGCAATCACCACGCCCACCACGCCTGTGAAGGGAATGAGGTAGTAGCCCAGCGGGAAAATGTACTCAGGGATCAGGACGACGTGGCCCCTGCGGAGGAAGGGAGGCAGAAGCATTAGGCCCCTGGGGGACCAGAGGGCAGAGATCCCTCCCCCCCTCCCTTCTGGAAAGATTCCCAAGCAGACCCAGCCTGAGAAAAATGGTCCCGGCTGCATCACACAGCCCCCCCATGGCCAGAAAGGGGTTGGGGGCAGCTTCCCCCTTAGAGTCCCACAGTCTGAAGGCTCAGCAGAGGCTGCCGAGGATGCCTCTGCAGGAACTTCAGCAGGATCTTAACCGGCTCCCTTTCACCCCCCAAGCCAGAAGCCCCAAACCACACATCCCTGTGCAACTTTCTAAATTTCGCCTTGCAGCCGCCATGACTACATCCAGTCTCGGTGCCCTCGTTCTTTGCCCGTCATTCCAATGTCGGAGCCCCGCGGTGAGCCCTCTCAAATACGGGCTGGGATGCCAGAGCCAGGCCAGTTGCGGGGAGCCCCCGTCCTCCCCTGCGGGGAGCCCCCGTCCTCCCCTGCCTCGCGCCGTGCCAGAGGGCCTACCCTCTCTCGTAGGTGAAGAGGCTCCGCAGGTAGGTGGCTGCTGTTTCACCCGTGAAGACAGAGGGGACGGTGATGTGCCTGCGCAGCTGGTCTGGAGAAGGAAGAGGGGCAGTCAGGGGGGAAGGAGCCGGGGGGACCCCCAAGGCCCAGAGCAAAGCCACCCGCCTCCACTCACCGTCCTCCCAGACCATGTTCAGCAGGTCATCCGAGCCAACGTTGTGCACAATGACGCCCAGGAAGCCGGCCTGCTGAGCATGGTAGACCTGCCAGGAGACACGGAAGGGGCTGAGGCGGCTCCCCCAGTGCCTCTTCTCCAGAAGCCGCCCTGGCTCTGTCCACACACGGGGTGGGGGCAACCCGTCTCGCGGGCCCAGGGCTTTGGCTTGTCCTGTGCAGCATGGAAATCCCAGCGAAGGGGTTTGCCCCTCCCCACCCCCATCCCCACCTTAATGTCAAAGCTGCAGTTGAACCGCCGGACGAGGGCGATGAAGACACTGCTGTTGGACGGAGGCGCCTGGAGGGGCAGGCAGGCGTTGGCCGGCCTGGCTTCCACTAGAAGACCCTGCAGGGGAGGCAGGCAGCTCAGGGAGGAGGGAGGGGGCGCATAGAGGGAGGGATGGCTCTCCACCTGCCCAGATACTCACCACCACGAGTCCTTCCCGGGGCAGCGGGAAGCCAAAAACGGCTGGCAGGTCAGAGAACTCCATGCTGGTATTGTGGTCCGATACCTGAGGAGGGAGGAGGGAGTGAAGGGGGCAGAGGCAGAGTCCAGTCACTCCTTAGGTGTGCTGGCTGCAGCCGTGGGCCCCTTCCACCCCCTTAACAGCCCCAGGGAGCCGATCTTTAGACACTCCCCACCCTGCCATTCCTCTCCTCTCCAGCCCAGCTGTTTGGGCACCAACCAGCCCCTTCGTGGTAGGGAAGCAGCACCAGGAGGCTGAAACGCCACCAGGAGGCCATCTTACCAGTGGAGCACTGCAAGGGCCTTGCCATGGTCCAAGCGCCCTCTAGTGGCGGGAGCCAGCACTTCAGGAAAGGGCAGGGAAATGAGACCCACCAGAGACCCCAGGCTGTGCTGAGTGGGGGGAGCTCACCGCGTGGATGTAGCCCTTTGCGGCCGGCAGCTCCCACAACAGGCAGACTGGCAGGACGAGGGCCGCCGCGGCTGGCAGGAGGTGCCTGGGCTGCATCCTGAAGCGTGGGGGGCAGTCGGAGCTCCTAGGAGAATGTGGCAGAGCCCGTCAGGCAAAGGGGCTGCTTCTTGCCCCAAGCTCACTCAGGCAGGGAGGTGCCCGCCAGACCAGCCGGGCCCTGAGCCCCACCAGGGACTAGCAGCACTGCTTTTCCTGCTAGGCAGCTATTGCCTGCGCCCCACCTCCTCCTCCGAATGAACTCACGAAGATCATCGGCCCATCAGCCCCCCTGCCTGACTCTCTGCCTCCTGCTGCCCACGCACACGACAGAGACTGGCATTCAGCTCTGGCATGCCGGGGGCACACAGAACCTCCAGACAACCTGGCAAAGAACTGCTGACGGGCAAAAAGATCTCCAAGCGCCAACCCGGTTGATGGAGGGAGTGGGTGAGGGGGGGAGCGACTGCCATAAATCTGACCACCCATCAGCTCATGCAGCCTTTGGAGTCCCCCTTGGTTGCTCCTGGGGGGTGGGGGCTGCAGACGCAGATAAGGGGCAATTGGCTTCCTCCACTCATGGGTGGGGGGTCAGCAGCCCCCTCCTCCTGGACCCTCCCCAGCACCTTTCCTGCACAGCAAAGCTTCTTCCCTCCCCCCCACCCATTCTGAAGGCCCCTCATTTAGCTGAGCTTCCTTGGGATCCAACAGGTTTCCCCTATCCTTGCCCACCATTTTAAGGTTGGTCGCCTTCCCATGGGCTCAGAGAAAGGGTCAACCCTGAAGCAGGGCCTGCCTGGCCAAGCTGCTCCGGCCCCTTGGGAGAGGGCCAAAACACCCCCAAACAAAAGGCCCAAAGGGTCCTATTTGGTGCCCCCCCCCAGAATTGCTCCCCTCTTTCCACTAGGCTGTGTGTCCCCCCCCCAAGAGTCAGGATCAGGGTTGCCCCTTCTAGAACTCAGGGCAGGAACCCCTCTTCTTCCCTTCTGACCAGCTCCTTTGTGGGGCACCTGGTGGGCCGGGCAGCAGAACCCTGGGCACCAGAGAAGGTGCCAAGAACAGCTGGCAGGCTGGCTGCCAGGGGCTTTGCAGGGCAGCAAGGCCAAAGGAGGCCTTCCACTCCTCACGCTAAACCAGAGTCTGCTTCAGTAGAGTTTATTAAGCCACAACCGGCTGGATTCACACACAGACCCAAAGGAGCCGCAACACGGCTAAGCATCTTGTGGGACGAAGAAGCGCCAACCCTCGCTGAGTCGGGGCACCCATTCTGGACCCTGAGGAGCCGAGCAGGGTATACAGGCCCATCACAGGGAGGTTTCCTCCACCATGCAGTCCAAGCCAGACTTCTCTCAGGCCCTTGGAGGGCTTATAGAAGCAGCCCTCATTTAACGACTGCCTCACACAATGAACATTTGCAGTTATGACAGCAACGAAAAAGTCACTCTGCAACAACTCTTTGTATTTACGCCCATCATATGTCTGTAAAACAAAGGAAAGCTGATCATAAGCACCGCTGCAGTTACCCCTTAACAACTCCTTCGCTTAACAACGGAGTTCCAATCATGGTTGCTAAAGGAGGACAACCCACATGTCACCACTTCCCTCCAGACAGAAGGCACCGACCGGTGTGCTGAGGTGCCAGGCTCCCCTTCAGGGGATGCTCAGAGATGGTGTCTGCTGGCAGAGCAAAGGGCAGTCACCGCAGAGGGAGAGAACCGGTGGGCATCTGATGCCAGCAGCCCAAGAGCCCATCCTTTGCCTTCTGCCGGTGGCCTCCCCCCATCCCTGTTCCCACCCTAGGGCCCCACTTCCACAGTGGCAGCCTGCTCCAAATACAGCCCCCCCCCACCCCACTTCCCCCCAGGGAGAACCCCCCTGCTCAGCTCAGCCCCAAAGGCTCCCAAGGCTGAGCCAGGTTGGTGGGCCTGCCTGCAGGAGGTTGCTCTCAACCAGGCCCTGCCCCACCCCACCCCATCGGGAGAGCAGCTGAGAATTGCTCACCGTTGCATAATCCCCTTCCCCAACCCTTCTCTGGCCTCCCTGGATAGGTTAGCTCATTGTCCTTCGGGGGGGGGGGGCTCTAAAGCAGGCCCATCTTCCCCTTCCCTCGGGGCTTTGCTTGCCCAGGTGGTGCCCCGCCCCCCGCCCCCCCCTCCGAGATCCTCTGAACAACTTTCCTTCCCAGGATCCCCTCCGGATTTCCCAGCAAATCCCTTGAAAGGACTGGTCCATCAGGGCTCCAGGGGCCTTTCTGCTGAGTCAGCCGGATTCCCCCCCCCGGCCCCCCTTCCCCTCCTCTCCCCCCCCCCCCCCCCATTTCGTCGCCTTCAGCTTTTCCCAGCCAGCCGAAGGGTCTCCGCTCTCGGCGCTTCCCCTCTTTGCTTGGCTTGAACTGACCCCCCCCTTGCATCTAGGCTGGGGACATCCCGGCTCCTGCGCTTCCCAGCCGGCCCGCACCCCGGAGCCGCTCCAGGGAAAGCCCCGCTCCTCCCGCCGCCTCCCCTTTCCAGACTCCGCCGCCCCCCGGAACCCCCCAGGCGCCCCCCCTCCCGAGGCAGCCCCGCCCACACAGGACGGCGCAGGGGGCTCGGGGGGGGGAGGTTGCCGGGAAGGCCCCGAGACCCCCGTCCTCGCCCCCTCGCCCCCCCCGAGGAGCCACCGCAGCGCCCCCCGGCCGCCCCCCCCCCTCACCTTCCAGGAGGGGCGCCCGCCGCTCTGTTTACAAGCCCTGCGCGCTCCGGGAAGACGCGACGCTCTCGCGAGAGGCGGGACGCGACGCTCCTCCCCGGGCAGTCTCCGCCTCTCCGCCCGGGCGCGGGGGATGCCGGGCGTTGTAGTCCCGCCCCGTTCTTCCGCACTCGACTCCTTTCCCCCACGTGACTGCGCCGCGGCACCCCGGACTACGACGCCCACAATCCTCCGGGCTCCCCCGGTTCACCCCCCACGACCCCTCCGCTGCGCGCGCACGCCGGCCCGAGTCACCTTGATCCCGGCGCCAGCGGAGCCGGTATGGCGGCGGCGGCGGCGGCGGCGGCGGCGGGTCCGGGGAAGCCCAAGACCTCGCCCAAGTCCGTCAAGTTCCTCTTCGGCGGCCTGGCCGGGTGAGCCCCCGGGGTGGGCGGGGCGGCGCTCCCGGGAAGAGCCCCGCCCGGTGCGACCGACCCTCCCTCCCTCCCTCCCCCCCCCAAACGCAGGATGGCGGCCACGGTGTTCGTGCAGCCGCTGGACCTGGTGAAGAACCGGATGCAGCTGAGCGGCGAGGGCGCCAAGACGCGCGAGTACAAGACCAGCCTGCACGCGGTGGGCAGCATCCTGCGCCAGGAGGGGCTGCGCGGCATCTACACCGGGTGGGTAGGGGGCCAGGGGCCCCGGGGGGAGGGGAGGGAGGGGGCCCCGGGGGGAGGGGAGGGGAGGGGGAGGGGGGCCACGGGGGGAGGGGAGGGAGGAGGGGCCACGGGGGGAGGGGAGGGAGGGGGGCCACGGGGGGAGGGGAGGGAGGGGGGCCCGGGGAGAGGGGAGGGAGGGGGGGGGAGGGGGGGCCACGGGGGGAGGGGAGGGAGGAGGGGCCACGGGGGGAGGGGAGGGAGGGGGGCCCAGGGAGGGGGGAGGGAGGGGGGGGGCCCGGGGGGAGGGAGGGGGGAGGAGGGGGCCACGGGGGGAGGGAGGGAGGGGGGGCCACGGGGGGAGGGGAGGGAGGGGGGCCACGGGGGGAGGGGAGGGAGGGGGGAGGGGGCCACGGGGGGAGGGGAGGGAGGAGGGGCCACGGGGGGAGGGGAGGGAGGGGGGCCACGGGGGGGAGGGGAGGGAGGGGGCCCCGGGGGGAGGGGAGGGAGGGGGAGGGGGGGCCAGGGGGAGGGGAGGGAGGGAGGGGCCACGGGGGGAGGGGAGGGGAGGGGGGCCACGGGGGAGGGGGGGAGGGGGGGGGGGGGGGGGGGGGGAGGGCCCGGGGGAGAGGGGAGGGAGGGAGGGGGGTGCGGGAGGGAGGGGGGGCCCCGGGGGGAGGGGAGGGAGGAGGGGCCACGGGCCACAGGGGGAGGGGAGGGAGGAGGGGGGCGGGGTCTCACGGCCGGGCTCCTCCCCCCGCAGGCTCTCGGCCGGGCTGCTCCGCCAGGCCACCTACACGACCACCCGGCTGGGCATCTACACGGTCCTCTTCGAGCGGCTGACGGGCGCCGACGGGACGCCGCCCGGCTTCCTCCTCAAGGCGCTCATCGGCATGACGGCCGGCGCCACCGGGGCCTTCGTGGGCACCCCCGCCGAGGTGGCCCTCATCCGCATGACCGCCGACGGCAGGTGCGTCCGGGGGCTGGGCTTGCCGGCGGGCGGGGGGCGTCCCCGGCCGGGGGCGGCAGCGGCTCCTCTCCCTGCCTCCCTCCTTCTCTCGCAGGCTGCCTCCCGAGCAGCGCCGCGGCTACACCAACGTCTTCAACGCGCTGCTGCGGATCACCCGCGAGGAAGGCATCCCCACGCTCTGGAGGGTAGGCGGGGCTGGGGCCGCCTGGGGAATAGGAGGGAGCCCCGATGGCCTCTTGGGGGCCCTGCCCGCTTCTTCCCCTCGCTGCCCCCTGCGGCAGAAGCACCTGCCCGGCCCTCCCCCCCCCCAGGAAGGCACACAGGCAGGCAGGCAACTGGGGGCCCAGCCCTGCCTTCCCTGCCCCCTTCCTCCTCTGCCCTAGGGATGCGTGCCCACCATGGCCCGGGCAGTGGTTGTCAACGCAGCCCAGCTGGCATCCTACTCCCAGTCGAAGCAATTCCTCATGGACTCGGGTAGGTGGGCTGCCCTTCCAGGTGGCCGAGGTCTGAGAAGCCTTTAGGGGGGTGGGTTCTGTGTGCCCGGGCTGACTTCCCCAAGCAATAGAAGGGGATTCGTCTCTGCCCACCTGCCTGCTGGGGCTGAGCAGCTCATCTCCCACGCAGAGCTCCTGGGCAGAGGCGCCGGCCTGGGCAGTCAGCGTTGCCTGGGGTGGGAGCAGCAGCAACAGCCCCCCCTCCCTTTGCCTCACCTCCAGGGTACTTCCAAGACAACATCTTGTGCCATTTCTGTGCCAGCATGATTAGCGGGTTGGTGACAACAGCAGCCTCCATGCCCGTGGACATCGCCAAGACCAGGTCGGGCTCCTGGGGCCTCTTGCCCGGGTGGGGTGTCTTGGGGAGAGGGAGACGGCCCCCGGGGGAATCTGCTAGAGCAGCACCTGCTTCTTAAAGTTGAGAAACGCTGCACTAGGCGCCTCTCAGAAATCCCCAATCGTCTTTCCTGACTGGGGCAGGGCTGGCTCTGCCTTGGCCATGGTGGCACGGGCTCTGCAGCTGGCCGCCTCTCCGCCTGAGCCCCACCGCCACCCCTTCTGCCTTTCTGCAGGATCCAGAACATGCGGATGATCGACGGGAAGCCCGAGTACCGGAATGGACTGGTGAGTGTGGTCAGCCCGACCCATGTGGCCCCAGAGCCGATTTGTGTCTGGGATAGAAGTGGCTGCAGCCCTGCCCTTCGGCTGCGTGAGAGGGAGGGAGGGAGGGAGGGAGGGGGGGGGGGAGGGACTTTCCCCATCCCCCCCCCCACACCCCTCAAAAGTTTGGATCCTTTGGCGGGGGAGAGGGGGAACAAGCTCCGACGGAAGGTGCAGCCAGGTCCTCCTGCCCCAGGGATGATGCCAGCAGAAGCCCCCCAACCCTCCTCGGCAGGATCTCTGCAGGGCCTCTTTAGTGGTACCTTAGTGGTACTTTAGTAGCCCCTTTGGGCCAGGTTGGGGAGAGCTGATCCCGGCCACTGCTTGCCAGCCGTTTTGGATAGTTCTGGTCTTGGGAAAGGCTCTCCAGCTCTGATGGCGCTTACCCACCTCTGAAAAGCCCTGGTTCCCCCAAGCCCCCTCCTCGCTCTCTGGGGTACTCCTGGTGGAGGCCGGCCAAATTCCGTTATTCTGCTCACTTATTTCTATGATCATGTATGTCCATCAAGCCCAAAAATGTCGGGAATGGCACAGGGTCTCCTGCCATAGAAGACCTCCAAGGCCCCTTCCAGCCCTGCAGAGCTCTCTCTGTTCCAAGCCCACCGGAAGAGTTTATCATTGGGAAATTCGGCTTCTGCCTAAAACTGCTAAACGGCCTAAAACTGCTGGGCTGTTTGAGATTATTTTGGCGGTCCTGCCACCAAGGCCCCCCCCCCCCCCATACCTTGGTGTTTGAGTTCCCCCTTTTTTTGACCCAAAAAAAAGTACTTGTGTTAAATGGTGTTAGCCTTTAACTTCTTTTTTCTGTAGGATACTAACTACCTCAGCCATTTGCAAATTTCATAAACTTCACCTTGCCGTGAATGAAAATATGGAGGAATTAAGTGGAAGACCAACCCCTGTGCTCCCCCCCTCCGATTCAGGCCAGAGCCCTGGTCTTTTGGGGACATTCCCCGGCCAGTCAGGGCTGTCTGCCTTTGGCCCCAGGGCCACTGGGGTTGGCTTCCGTGATTCTGCCAGGCCCTTCCCAGGCCGGTCTGCAGCGGAGGCAGCAGGAAAAAACCTGCAGAGCCTGAATTTAGCTAACATCGAGATAAGCTTTGGGGGGGGGGGGGGGTTGGGGGGGGTGACGCTGTGTGTGTGTGTGTATCTGTACTTGCCCTGCAGGGTTGCTACCTTGTGGGGGAGGGGTCTGGTTGTGCAAGCCGGCCATGGCAGGATGGGGGAGTTGCTGGACTTTAGCAGACCTTGGGGAGAAGCAAAGTCCAGGGGGGGCACTGTGGGTGTTGGCGGTGGGGCTCCAGGCCAGCTGTGCCCGCCCACTGTGGGTGATCCTGCCTGGCTGCTGTGCCCTGTCCACTTTCCCTCCCAGGCTCAGCCGGAGGAGGGGTTGCCTATGCCAAAGACTCCCGGTGCTGGGTGGGGCAGTCGCTGTCCCATGTTGGGGAGGGGGATTCCAAGCTGCTTCCTCGTTTTGCTCATGACCTTGGGGGGGGCTTCTCTCTCCCCCCCCTCCCGCTTCCAGGACGTGCTGGCAAAGGTTGTCCGCTACGAAGGCTTCTTCAGCCTCTGGAAGGGCTTCACGCCCTATTATGCCCGCCTCGGCCCCCACACCGTCCTGACCTTCATCTTTCTGGAGCAGCTGAACAAGTTCTACGGGAAGTTCTTCCTCGGGACCTGAGGGGCCCAGCTCCCCGAGGCCAGCATTCCCCTCCCCCCCCCCCCGGGGCGAGGGCAGATGCAAGGCAGGGCCCCCCTTCTCTTCTCCCACCAATCCTGAGCACCGGCTGACTCCTCCCAGGATGGCGGGTGGACGCTATTTATTGAGGAAGGGGATGCACATGGGCCCCGGGCCCGCTGTAGGAGGGCTGCAGAGAAAGCAGCTGCCTCTCTTCGCTTTGTACTGAGTAAACGCAATCATGCTCCGAATTGACTGCCCCCCTGAGCCCTTCCGTGTGTTGTATGGGGCCGGAGGAGGGGCAGAAGGCGGAGGGCGCTTAGGGGCTCCCACCGAGTGTCGTCCTCTCAGGGAGGCCTTCAGCCCTGTCCTAGTGGGGTCCCTGAATTCCCAAGGCAGGCAATGCAGCCTCCCACTGGGGCAGGGTCCCGCCTGGGGAGATCCCCTATCCCCTCTGCACGTGATCAGGGAGGCACAACCGAGCGCAGCTGGGAAGCCGTCCAGGCCTTGTTCCAGAAGGCAGCAGGGCAGAGCAGCCGCACAGAGCCGGCCTTGTCCCCTTGCCCTGCTCTGACAGAAGGCGCGCTGGATAGGGCTGCCTTGTGACGGCCCACGTGGTGCTGGGGTGCTCCCCTCCCCCGGCTGCCATCCGCACATGCCAGGCACGAAGGACAGGCTCTCACCTGGGGCTCTTCCGCCTCGACTGCAGGCAGCTTGGAAATGCATGGTGGACCAGCCCTTCCCCTGCGGGGCACCAGGCGCTCTCCGTGACCTCCGTCTGGTCTGCTGCTGCCCTGCCAGGCGAGGCAGCTGGGGGGGGCGGAGGGGGGGGCTCCACAGGGGCAAACCTGTTGTCCAACTGCAGCGCAGCAAGTGAGCCTCCAGGCTTGCCAGCCACAAAGGGGGCCTGTGATGGAGGCAGGCGCTTCTGAGCAGCCTCTGGCCCCGTGGCTGTGGGCTGAGCGACCAGATGCGAGGGACCCCGAGGTGGAAGTGAGGAGCCACCCCAAAGTCCTTTGGCCGGACCCAGCCGGAGAGCCTGTCCTTGGCTGCCCCGGGGAGGGGGGAAGGGAAAAAAAGAAAGAGGAAATTCTGGGCCTGGGGTGGGGGGGAGAGAAAGAAGGGCTCAAAGCTTTTATTCAAATGAAGCCGGCTGGTGTCCACACACACACACGTGCAAGCTTTGGGGCTGCACAAAGCCCTTCATCGCTGAGCAGAAGGGGCGGCTGCTGACCCCCAGATGCATCTGGGGCTGAGAACGGCACAGTCCCCCATACCAAACGAGAGAGAGGTGGTGAGGCCGTTCGCGGCTGGCCGGAGGCTGCAGAGGAGCCCCTCGCCCTACTGGCTGGGGAAGGGGTCCTCGGGCACCGTGTTAAGGTGTCCCATGAAGAAGATAGCCAGGGTGCCGATGGTAAAGAGCAGGATGGCCAGCCAGAAGCAGAGCTTGTCAATCATCTGTCCGATCAGCATCCAGTTCTCCATCTCCTGGGAGGGAGGGAGGGAGGGAGGGGCAAAGGTCAGCGGGGTGGGGCGGGGGAGCAGAGTGGGGAGGCAGCTTTTCTTGAGTTGGTCCCACTGACTCACCGCCCCGTCGCTGTTCTGCTCCTTTGTGCTCTTGCTGATGAAGTTGCAGGCGTCCACACACTCCTTGATCTCTGGAGCCAGGCTGGAGAGGTTCTTGTACAGCATGGTGGTCATCTGCACGTCCAGCCCATCTGGGGGGGGGGGGGGAGAATGAAGGTAGTGCAAAGCCTTCATCTCTTGCATGTGCACCGAAGCTCTCCGGTCATTTTTCTGGACCGTGTTGGGCGATGAATGCCAGCACTGCCCTGACGCTCCTTCCAAGGGGGCATTTCTGCTCACCACCTGTTAGGCAGGGACCTGGCAGAGGCCGTGAGTGAGGAGCCAAGGTAGCATTCATATCCAAAAGGTTGGCAGCTTCAGGCAAAGTCAAGACCTCTGGCCTAAACCGAGCCTTGCCCGCTGCCCCCACCCCCCGTCAAGTGTACGATTTCAAGGGCTTGACGGGCATCGGGTGTCCTCAGGAATGGGGAGACTGGCTGCCTTCGCAGGGCAAGGGCGTGTGGTCCTTGCCGAGTCGGCTGGCAGCCAGGCAAGCGGGAAGCAAGACATCCGGAAGAGCCCCCCTGCCCCTTGCCCGCTGCCCATGTCCCGCACCGTAATCGGGCACCCTCTGCAGCCCGTGGCGCTGGCCCTGGTGCTCAAAGAGGACCTCGCTCCGGGCCTTCTTCAGGATGTACTCCTCAGCCTTGACCAAGAGGGAGAGGGAGCGCCGAGGGCAGGGGGCGCCCTGGAACTCCTCGTCTGCAGGGCCAATGGTGGAGCCCAGGTAGTGCGGGAGGATCTTGAGGAAGAGCTGAGGGGGGAGAACAGGAAGGGGCAGTCAGGTGTACCCAGACCCCTCTCCCCTCTGTGGGTGAAGCCAAGGGAGAGGCAGGTGGAACTGAAGCTGCCACTGACGTTAAAATTCGTGTCTTAATGTGCAGAAGCTGCTGGGCTGAGGCCCAAAATATTTGCAGGAGAGGTCAGGAGGCCGAAAGAAGCTGCATCGGCAGTGAATTGTCTGGAGGACCAGGGGGGTCCTGGCAGATGGGGAAATGGGAGAGAGGGGCTGCCTGTTGTACTGACAGGGCAAAACGAAGTGGCTGAATGGGTCAAATGACTTTCCTCGCTCCCCTCTTTGCCTTGCCTTGCCTTGCCTTGGGGCTTCTTCCTTCCTGCCCTCTGGGAGGAACCCTGTGATGTGGGGTGGAGGGTCTGGAGGTGCTGGCAGAGTTCCCCCCCTTCTTCAGCCCCTGATTTTCTAAGCTGGCTGAGAGGCGGCCAACGTTGGCTGCTTTAAGAAGTCAACTTCCAGAACCCCCCCCCCAAAGGTAGCTGAGGAATCATGGGAATTGAAGTCCACCAGCCCTGATTGACCCTGAAGGCTTGCTTTGCATCCTGAGCCTGGGCAAGGCCATCAGCCGGTCTGGGCCTCTCAAGGGCCTCCAGGTTCCACTCGGAAGTCTTCAGCCATCCGCCACGAGACCACCTGCAGGGTTTCTTCAGCATCCCTCGGCACTTGAGAGAGGGTGCCCGTCTCTGCTTGGCTTCAGCCAAAGCCCCCTGGCATCACTTTCTGCCCCCCAAGCAGCAGCCCCCCCTCCCTGCCTCCCCTCCTCACGCGCTTGAGCCTGGGGGACAGGAGGTGGGTGCTGGGGCTGCGCAGGGAGATGTTCAGCACCACGACGCAGTTCGTGACGATCAGGGTGGCCACCGTCATCACAAAGAGCAGGTACCTGACGGTGGGAGGAGAAAAGCAGCAGGTGGGCCGGGCCGCTTCCTGGGGACACCCCACCACGCAGGCTGACAGCCACTCACTTGCCAATGAGGGGGACGCTGAGTGACGTTGCGGGCACCTTCTGGGCAATCAGGAAGAGGAAGACCGTCTGGGCCAGCAGGACCGAGATGCTGACCGTGCACTTCTGGCCACCGGCTGCCAGGCAGGAATCTCGTGGGTGAGAGCAACGAGGCTGCCCGGGGCCTCCCGATGCCCTTCCCTCTCCCCCCCAACCCAGCAGCCTCCTTTCCAGTCTGTGTGACACCCCCCCGCCCCCCGGCAGCTCACCCTGGGCGGGCAGGAAGTAGACCAGGACCACCAGGGAGGAGATGAGCACGCAGGGCACGATGATGTTGATGATGTAGAAGAGCGGCTTGCGCTGGATGATGAGGAAGTAGTGGATCTCGGAGAAGCCCGGTGCCTCCAGCCCGGCGATGGGGGCCAAGACCCGGCGGGCTGGCCGATATATTAAGGCCCACTCCCCATTCTCTGAAATAGAGGGCCCCCCCCCAGACATTGCAGCTGGCAGCTCCCCAGGGTCCCCCAAGGCCAGGGGAGCCAAGGGCCAACCCACACCGGGGCCTCAGTCCCTGCTTCCTGGCTTGGCGGCCCCCTCCCCCACTACCTGTGAAGTCTTCAATGATGACCTCCTCCACTGGCATGAAGGTGGTGTCGTTGAGGCCGTACTGCAGCTCGACCTCCCGGGCATTGTGGGTTTTGGACCTGGAGGAGCAGAAGAGCAGGAGGCCGGGGGAAGGCCGGGCCTCCCACTCTCCTTGAGCAATCCCCAAGGCACAGCAAGGAGTCGCAGATGCCCCCCTGCCCAGAGTCACGGGGGCCCCGACCCACCGGAAGATGAGGGAGCAGTTCTGCCAGTCGAAAGGGAAGAAGGTGACCTCGATGGGGCAGGAGCTGCGGAAGATGGCAGGAGGCTGCCAGTACATTTCCCCCCCGGGGGAGATCAGGACGTTGGCGGAATAGGCCACCTCAAAGTTGCCATCAATGCTGGTGGGGGGAAGGGTTAAGGTTAGGAGGAGGAAGGCACCTCCCTTCGGCAGCTCCCGTGGCCCTCCCACGCACTTGTTCTCCAGGACGATGTCTGGCAGCCACACGTGGTCAGCCGGGACCCGCAGCTCTTTGTCATATTCCTCCTTGGTGAAGTTCAGTCGATAGTCCACCCATTGCTGAGGCCAGGAAGGGAAAGAGGTGGAGGTGACCCCCTCTCGGCAGGGCAGAACCCCTCCGGAGCCCCCTGCCAAGTGGGGTGGGGCTCAAGCCGAGCCTCTGCTGCTGCCCCAGAGACCTGGAAGGTCAATTGCCAGGGCTGCCTGGGTGGGAGATGAAGCCCCCCCAAGGGAGCCCCAAGCAGTGGGCGGCCAGTGGGGGTCCAGGATGGGGCAGTCCCCCAGGGTGGTCCTTGCCTGAGCAATCCAGACATTGGTGGTCAGCGTCTCCTCTTTGGCATTCTGGAGGGAGGGAGGGAGGGAGGGAGGAAGGAACACGCCTTTCACTGCTTCTCAACTCCCTCAAAGCCCCCGGATCTCCCCTTCCCTCCAGGGGTGGGGAAAGGGCCCCCCTACCAGTGAGATGAGGTTGGTGAGGGTCAGCTTCAAGAAGACCTGGAGCACTTCGTCCGTTCTCTGGACCGGCCACTGGGACTTGTCATAGTTGTCAAAAAGGCGGTTGTAGAGATTGCGCTCCTTGTTGCTCTCTGGGGAGCCTGGGGGGCGAAGGGGGGGCAGGATGAGACTCCAGGGAGCAACCCTACCCCCACCCCACAGCCAAGCCTTGCCTGCTCCTTACCGAGGGCCGCACAGCCGAGCAGGAGCCCCAGACAGAAGCCCCAGGCCAGGGTGCCCACCACCTGCATGGCCAGTCTGAGAGACGCTTTGCGGAGGGGGAAGAGTTATTTTGAGTCTGCTCCTGGCTGGGAGGAGGGGGCACCGGATATCCTCCCCCCCCCAAGCATCAGAGGCATTTGCTTGCCTGGCTCCAGAGCACCTGTTGGCACATGCCTGTTGGCATCCGTGGCAGAGCAGCTGGAGATGAAGGGCACCAGTGAGCTGGCCTGAAATCCTTGGGGTCCTTTGCTGGGAGCGCCCCACTAGCAGGCCCGGAGAGGTGGCAGCTGGCCACAGCCCCGCGACTTGCCAAAGACTCTGCCACCCAATGGTCCATCGGTTCTAGCAAGGTGTGGGGAGGTAGGGAAAACGGCCAGTGGAAACACATCCGTCCCACTGCACAGAACTGATCTTCTGCGTTCCCACAACGCATAGCGACAACACTTAGAATAACAACCGGGTTGGAAGGCACCTTGGAGGTCTGTCTAGTCTCAATCCCATTTCAGGCAAATAGCCAATAGCCAATAGAGGTTTAGGAAGGGACTGGACAGCCCTCTCCACCGATGGGGCAGCCCCACTCCTGGAAGCCGTTTGTGGTCCAAGGGGCAGAAGTGGGAGGTGGGGGAGCTTTGAGCCGCCGGGGGGAGGGGCTTGTCTCTGTGACCGGCTATGCATACGGATGAAGCCAGACCTGTCCAGGGGCCAGGATGGAACTAGGAGACGGGTCACCTCTGCCAGAGAGGGGGAGCAACTTCTTCCCATCCCCCAACTCCCCAGGCCCACTGACATTCCCAGGCCGTGCTGGGGGGCAGAGATCAAGGGAAGGAAGGACTGGAAGGGCTGCATCTGGGCAGATTGAAAAAGCCCCATCCTTCCCCCAGAGCAGCTGGCCTTATCGGTCTTCTGTGGGGAGAGCAGGACGTGGCACTCACACCACCACTGTGACTAAGCAGGGAGAGGCACCAGCGTCCTTTTTCTGAGCTCCTCTGCCAGCTGATTTGCCCCACTCCGGCCTTTGCTCATCTTGGATGCCCCTTCAAAGGCAGGCAGCGCCAGCATCGCAGCACAGCTGAACTGCCACTTGGAGCCTCAGCGCCAGCAGCTCAGCCCATCGAGGGAAAGTCGGATCCGGTGTGAAAGGACAAGGAGAAGGAGGAGGGCAAGCGGAGAACACCTGCCCTGCGAGGTAGGCTGCCTAGAACAGCGGCAGGCAGTGGGGTAGGTTCATGGAGGCAGAAATCAGCCGTGGAAAGCCCGAAGGAGGGTCGAACCACAAACCCAGAAAAAGACTCCCGGTGGGGGCCTCAGGACGGGTGCAGAGCAGGCCGGAAAGCTTTGGGCTGGGGTGTGGGGGACTGTGGCCAGGTGGCAACTTTGCAGCTTTGCGCAACTAGACAGGTCCTGGTGCTGAGCTGGAACCTGAGCAGGAAGGGCCTTCGGCTGCTTGGAGATTCCCCTCAGGAGGGCGGGCAGGAGGGCGAATCCTTTTTCTCCTCCAACTTTCAGTGGCGGGATTGCCAGACCAAAGGGCAGGACGGGGCTCCGGCTACCCTTGCTTAAAACCAGGGAGGCTCCGGGCAGCCTCTGGCTTCTCAGACCTCCCGCCAGGCACCTCCGTCTTCCGGGCAGAGGAGCCCTTGCCCGCTGGCCTTGGCACCATCTTCCCTTGGCCCAAAAGCATTTTGCTTAAGTAAATAGTTTAAACGTCTCCGGAGACTCTCAGCCATCCAGCTCCTGGGTGTCCCAAAGGCGCTCTTTCAAGAGGCAACTGGACTTCCTGGGTTTTCTTTGACGACGTTTCACTTCTCATCCAAGAAGCTTCTTCAGCTCTGACCCAGTGGTGGGGAATGGAAGACAGCTGGTCATTTGCATCCTTTGAGAGAGTCATCCAGGCCACTTGGAGGTTTATCTGTGTCTTCAGGGTCACCTGAGTGGTGCAAATGGGTGTGGAGCCAGAGGTAGGTAGTGGTCAAGCAGAGGTCCAGCATGGCACATATGTGGTCTGGGCTGAAGTTGGTTCTGGCACTTAAAGTGCTTCCTTGTAGCAGCCATTTTTTCACTACCTTTTTCACAGCTTCGGTTGTTGGAATGCAGGTGAAAAGGGAAGTCGCATCACAGGAAACCATGGTCTCATCTGGGTCCCATTTGCCTTGCTGGCAAAGTCCTGTGAATTGTTGATGGGACGGGATGTTGTTGCCAACTAAAGGAGCTAATCAGCTAATAATCCAGTTGGAGTTGAAGAAGCTTCTTGGATGAGAAGCAAAAGGAAAAGAAAAAAGAAAACCCAGAAAGTCCAGTTGCCTCTTGAAAAAGCACCTTTGGGATAAATAGTTCAAAATTCCAGTTTGCTGACCCAGGAAAGATAACATCAGTATTGTTTTGCCAGTGGTGTATTTACTTAAAGCCATTCCTCTGAAATATTAAACCACCTCTAACCTGTTCAACCAGGTTACTAATCTATTAAGATTTTTTTTAGGGTGAGGACAACCCCCCCACCACCACTAGATTTGCTTTATTTAAATTACAATCCTCGTGTAATGATGGGAGGTCTCAGCTACTTTATGTGGCCCAGACCCCAGCCTCTTTTTGCAAGGTGGTTCCATTGAGCCCGAACCTGTTTGAGCCCTCAGATGGCAGCAGCCAGAAGGCCACGGATTTATATACCGCTTCACTGCCCTCTCTAAGCGGTTTACATAGGCAGCCTATGGTCCCCAACAACAATCTGGCTCCTCATTTTACAAACCTCAGAAGGATGGAAGGCCGAGTCCATCTTGAGCCGGTCACAATTGAACTGCTGGCAGTCGGCAGTTAGCAGAATTAGCCTGTGCAATTCTGCCTTCTAACCGCTGCGCCACGACGGCTCTGGGATGTTAAGACGTCAGGCTCTGGGTTCGAACGCTCTACAGAAACCGGAGTTTTTCTCCACCTCGGAAACTTTGCACATCCTGGTGCTACATCACTTGCAGAAAAGGAGGTATACAATCGACCAGGCGGTTATAATTCTCTATCAGCAACTCTCAATCTGGGCAGCTTGAAGCTGGGTGGGCTTCAACTCTCAGCTGTGCCGGCTGGGGCATTCTGGGAGTTGGAAGTCCACCCAGCCACAAACTGCCGAGGTTGAAAGATGCTGTAATCTGTAACATTTGATATAGATAGATAGATAGATAGATAAATTTATTTATTTATTTATTTCTATACTGCCCTTCTCCCGAAGGACTCAGGGCGGTGAATGAATATTGAATGCAGGTGTTCATAATTATGGGCCTAATTAGGGTTATTCAGCAACCATTTTGATATCACAGTGGCCTCGGCCCTATTTTTAGCTGTCGCTTTGGTGCATTTCCTACGTTAAAAGCCACAAGAAATATTTGGAAGGTGTGGAATCGAAGTTGCTGAAGTCTGCGAAGTCTGAGTGTTGTCCATTAATTCCCGGCTGAACTCGGAGGCCTCGGCCTGGCCTGAAACCAACAGAATCTGTTTTGGTTGCACCCATATTGCCCTGCAGCATTTATTAAGATGAATGGTTAGGATGGAGGTAGATTCTGAAGGAAGTCCATCTCTGTGGGCAATAGTGTCTTGCATAATCCATCACTTGTGGTTGAGATGTTCAGCATGGAGAGTAGCCAGAAGGCCGGGTCCCCCTCAGAGGGTCAGCAAGAAAGAGGGGGCCTCTGTGGGAGATGAGGAAGGGAAAGGCTGCCCCAAATGTGGAGATCCCCCCCCCCACATGGCAGGAAATGCTGGCTGCTTTTCTGCTGCTTGCTACACAAAGTTTCAGTTCAGAATAACGATGAGAGTTGTGGGCTTCCTGGGCAGCCCCCCCCCCTTTGCCTGTAAGAGCAACTGTAAGAGCATCGAGGGAGGGGCTGATGACTCAGAAGGAAGCACCAGGGCTCAGCAACTCCCTGGGAGTTGCCCCTCTCCTTCCTGAGGGCTTGCAGGGGTCCCCAACTTTTCTGGTACCAGGGAGAGGTTGACTGTGGGGGACGGTTTCGTGCATAGCCCAGATCCCACACGTGTGTAGATAAAGCTTCCCTAACACTGGTCCACAGCCTGGAGAATGGGGACTGCGACTGTAAAGGATCTTCCCCAGCCATGGGTCCCAGCTGTGGGGAGTCATTCTGCCTGGCTCTTCTCCTTGTGGGTCTCTCCAAGCGGAGGTCAGAGGGATGCAGGGGAAAGCTTCTACGTCAACCACTGCAGCCGGTCAGAACAATTCCCAGCCGATCTCCCAATGCGTCCAAGCAGCCGTGGCTTGAATGTTTATCTTAGACCCCCTGTGTGGCCTCCTTCCCACAGATGCTGCAGGGTCTGCTGGCCCCCCTCCTCCTGGCTGCCTCAGTTGCTGTAGTGGCAGCCATGCCTCCCCCCGAGCAGTGCAATTCCGAGATGAACAAGATCAAGGACCTGCTGGAGGTGAGCTGTGTGGACAAGGGGCTGACCAGCATCCCCAGCGGGCTGCCCAGTGACACGGGCATCCTGCTCCTCGCCTCCAACCAGCTGGCCAAGGTTGCCCTGGCCTCCTTCCAGCACCTGCCACAGCTGAGCGACCTGGACCTGTCCAACAACAGCCTGAAAGTCCTGGAGACCAGCGGTACCCTGCCCAAACTCAACCAGCTGCTTCTGTCCCATAATGGCCTGGAGAGCCTGCCTGCTTTCCCGGGGCTGCCTAGCCTGGAGTGCTTGGCATTGGGGCACAACCAGCTCTCCCAGCTGCCCGAGGGGGGCTTCCGTGACCTGGGGCAGCTGCAGGAACTGGAGTTGCAGGGCAACCGGCTGCAGAACCTGCCTGGCGGAGCCTTCAAAGGCCTGCGGATGTTGAAGGATCTGGACCTGTCAGACAACTGCCTGGAGGCGCTGCCCCCAGAGCTGCTGGCCGACTTGCCCGAGCTGGAGATTCTGCGGCTGGAGAGGAACCGGCTAGAGCGCGTGCCGGACCGTTTCTTCTCGGGCACCAAGTATGGCTACATCTACCTGGTGGAGAACCCCTGGCTGTGTGACTGCCGGCTGGACTACCTGCGCAACTGGATCAATGACAATGAGTTCTTTGTGTATACTCGCATAACCGTGCAGGAGGACGGCTTGGACAAGGAGGTCACGGAGAATGAGCCCCACAAAGTCCTCTGCCAGGCGCCCCCCAAGGAGAAGGGCCAGGCCGTCATGAGTTTCGAAGCTGACTGCAGTAAACTCGGAGATATCGGCCAGGAGGTGGGAGAAGAGGGAGGCCCTGCGGGCGACAGCTGGACTCCCTCTCCGACCCCTTCTCCTTCGACGGCCGCTGCCCCCCTGATTCCACCGTTCCTTGCAGCCTCCAGGCGCTCCTCCCACAGCCCAAGAAGAGCCATCAGCCCAACTGGTGCCGCTCTCACAACCACCACAAGCACTTCAGCGCTACGTTCTACAATGACACACTCCCCTACAACCACCAGCCCTGGTCCAACCACCATTCGTAATATCCTCACCACAACTGCAGCCTTTGTTACTGCGGGTGCCACTGCAGGGAGGCCAACTGCAACTTCTAATGGCCCCATGACGACCCCAGGCCCCTCAACGGCCCACATCCCAACCCCCCGTGTGCCTACCGCAATGGCAACCTCTCGCACCCCACTTGCTCTCAGCCCCACTGCCTTGATGCTCACCACCCCACTTCCCCCGAGTGCCCCTCTGCCAATGGCAACCACAGCCTTTGTTACTGGCCTTTCCACCAGTGGTGCCACTGCGGAGAGGTCAACTGCAACTTCTAATGGCCCCATGACGACCCCAGGCCCCTCAACGGCCCACATCCCAACCCCCCGTGTACCTACCACAATGGCAACCTCTCGCACCCCACTTTGCTCTCAGCCCACTGCCATGCTCACCACCCCACTTCCCCCGAGTGCCCCTCTGCCAACGACAACCGCAGCCGGGCATCCTCCGAGCCCTGCAGCCCTGGGCCCCTCCACCCCCAACCCCACCCATGTCAAAAGCTCACCCAGGATTTCTGCTCCCCTTTCCACCCGCGAGTTTTCTCCCCCACCTCCCCCCAAGCCCTCTGCCCACTGTCTCTGCCCCGCCCCGCCCGTCAGGGTTCTCGGAGCGGCTGCTCGTAAGGGGTCCAGCACAGAGTGGCTGGCTGGTTCCTGCTGCCTCCTGCGCCTGGTGCTCTACCTTGCATGCCTGGCGTTGGTGGCCCTGCTAACTCTGGCCCTGCTCTGCTGGCTGGGCTGGCTCTATTTCGGCTGGTACCGCCCGGCTGTGCGAGGGGCTCCGGGGTCTTGCCTGGCCAGGCCCCAGCAATGGCAGAAAGCCTCCCCCAAAGGATGGCAGCTGAAGTTTGCCGAAGCCCCACGTCCCACACCCGGGCCCCGGATCTATCGCGTCTGCAAGAAGTTCCAGGTGGCCCCTTCCCGCCACGTCACCTGGCTGCTGGTTAGCCTGCCTGGCTCTGCCGGAAAATGGGCACAGATGCAGGCCAGGCTGTCCTCCTACAGCTTGGACAGAGGAAAGGACAGTCTGGGGGCCGTGAGGGTGAAATACGCCGCGGCCTCTTTGTAAGGGCCAACCAACCCGGAAGATCAGAAGCCCTCAATGTCCCTTTAAAGGGGGGGAGGGGCTTGGCCAGGCTGCTTGCAATCCATGGGAATTCAGTCCAACCAGGGGAGGGGGGGGGCTAGACATGCATGTGTGGGAAGCGCCCAGTTCCTCTTCCCAATGATGAATCCAGTCAAGTGTCCCGAGTGACGGTTCTGGCCCCACAAATCTTGCAACTGTTCTCAGACACACACACACACATCCCATTGTTATTACTACTGTATTTTTGTGCCATGTTCCTTTGAACAATTCCTGCCCCAACTCTTGAGAAAGCCGCAGTGGTTGTGGGATGCAGTGATTGGGGAAGGACTCTCTACCCCAGCTGCGACTCTGCCCCTCCTCCCCAGACCCCCCCCAGCTGATGGCTCACATGCATGCAAAACCTTCGCTGCCCCCAACCACCAAAGACCAGGGGCCTGCTAAGGCAGGGCTGGCCTACATCCCAGAGAAAAGAGGGAGGTGTGTGAGGGTTTTGCAACATTCCCTGGTCTTTGAGGTAGGCCGGGGTCCACACGGACTGCCTGCCATCGTCTCAGGATGCCCTCAAGGGAAGCTGCCCTGCTATGGCTGGCCTTTGGGGCATCCTTGCCCACGAGACCCCCACCCCTTTCCGTGGGAGGGGGAAGAGGCAGCACACTCATCCACCGAGGAGGCCCTTGCTGAGACCCACACCTCCTTTCCCCACGCTACCCGGTCCCTCCCTGCCGCCTCGCACTGAAAGGCCTAGGCAGAAGGTCCAAAGCGTCTCCACGCAGGAGACCCCAAAGACATGTGCGTGAACCCCACCATTCAGAAATTCAGTAATCAGCTTTGCTGCCACCAGAGGGCGCTAGCCATCCACAAAGCCGAGAAACCAGCCAAGTCCCTCCAAGGAGGAAAACAGACAAGGCCTTTAGGGGACTCCTATGGGGGGGGGGAATTCTGGCATGGGGTGCATGGAAGCCTTCCAAAGGAAGTCAGTGGACGCCTCCACCCTGCAGCCACTGCGTGGAGCAGGCTGGGCCTGCTGGAGCAGCCAGGGGCCTGTGGAAGCCCCCCCACCCCAGCCTCGGGCCCAGAGTGCTTCCCCATTGCAGTGGGGGTGGGGAGCAGGAGGCCCCCTTTGGGCAGCTGAAGGGCACAGCCGGGCCAGGGTGCGGCCAGGAGGGCCGGGGGTGGGGAGGGGATGAGGCCATGGGCAGGTTTCTCTTCCTTGGCATCCAGTTGGAATAAAACCACTTTGCCTGCCTCCATCTGCTTCTTCCTCCTTCGGTCTCCGGGTGGGAACACAGAGAAATGGCAGCGGCTTCCCTTCCAGCAGTTTCAGTCCAGGGCCTTCACGGAAGGGAAACCGAGTCTTGGGTGAGCTGGCATTTTGATGATTAAAAGGAGCCTCCCTTCCTGCCAGCCCCCCCCCCCCCCATCTGCCTCCCCCCCTCACAATCCTGCATTCATCCTGCTTGGTCCACGCAGGGTCAGCAGAACCCCCCAAGGGCAGCAAAGCCAGCCCCCCCTCCGTCTCTTTCTCTCCCTCTCAAGGTCCGTGCAGCAGCCTCCCCTAAGACCCCTCGCCCTCCTTCCCCTTTTCCCAGCACAGAAAGAGCCACAGCCACAGAGGAGGATTTTGGTTCTTTATCAAGAGATGAAATGCCAAGGCCACCACTGATCCCTGGGAGGGAGGGGGCGGGGGGGGGAGTTCCCTTTCCCACAGAGAAGTCGGGGAGGGGATTATATACAAATGCAAGCAAACTGCACGAGAAAATCAAGTTGCAAACAGGAGCCGTTTCCTGCCCTGCGTCTGCACCAGCGACCACCAGAGTAAGCCCTGTGGAAGCACCCCAAGCCTAGCCAAAATGGAGGGGGGGCGGTGGGAGGGGGACAAAAGCAGACAGGGCCTCTGCCTGGGGAAGGCGGAATGATGCCCCCCCCACTCCCAGAGCCAGCAGAGGCCTCCACGGAGGAGGAGGAGGAGGGGGAGGGGGGGGGGGGGGGGGGGGAAAGGCAGCCAAGGCCTCTGGGGGTGCTCCCTGCCCAACCTGATGGGCTGGGCCATTAAAGTGCTTCATTAGTTAATTACTTAAATTGCCATTACAAAAGAATAATTAAAGCAAAATATACACAGCTCCCCTCTTGGTCTGTGGGAGAAAATTCCAGATATACATCCAGATGGAGCAAAACCTGGGGGCTAGCGGGGGGGGGGGGGGGGGGGGGGGGGCCCCCCCCAGAGAGCAGCCAGTCTTCCCCCTCAAGGGCTCCAGAGCCAGAGGAGAGCAGGGGTAGGTGGGGTGGGGACCATGGTGCCCAGAAGATTGCTAGAAGGTCGAGTGTCTGTGAGTGTAAGGGGAGGGGGTCTTATTTGTTTCATCATCATCATTCACCCCCCCCTCCCTGCAGTTGGGATGAGAGGTGTTCTTCCTCCAGTTCAAGACAGCCGGGGGGGGGGGGGTCCTGGGGTCACAGGGGCGGGGCGCCGACTGAGAGCCCTCCCCCCCCTCCGGCCTTCCCGATATGCTGCTGCCACGGAATGTGTGGGTGCCCTCGGGGCAGGAGGGGAAGGGAGGCGGGGGAGGAAACCAGCCTGGCGGTTGAAAGAGGCGGTGTGGGGAGCAGGGGTCTCTGTAGCCCCTTACGAGAGAGAGGAGACTCTGCCACAAAAGCCTCCCCCTCCCCAGAAGCTGCCCTCCCAGAACGTGACTCTCCTCTTGGCCGTCAGGAGCCAGACCAGGTGGGGGTCCGTCCAGCCGGAGCGGCTTCACCAGTTCATGATGCAGTTCCGGTTGAGGGTCATGAAGTAGACTTGGCTGCTGCCCCCTGAGCGCACCGAGGCGAAGAACACCTGCAAGGGGGAGTGGGGGGGGAAACAGCCGCTAGAAGGTGGGCCCGGGGGAGGGGACGGCCCCCGCCTGGGGCTGCAGGGCCAGCGAGGGCTCCTTCCCCAGCCCCACCCTCGGTTAGGGGTCCCGGCCAGGCTCGGTGCTCCAGGGGACCCACCTTGTCGTTGCGTTCGCACAGGAACTTCAGCCGCTGCGCCCGCTTGTGCATGAAGACGCCGTCCAGGTGCCCCGTCTCCACCGAGCGGATCTCAATGGCTTTCTCGCCCCAGCCCATGATCTGATTGGAGCAGATGTACGCTGGGGAGGGGGAGGAAAGGACCGAAGGTGGGTGGGGCTCCGGTGCTGAACGGCCCCCTGAAGAGAGCCAGGCGCCCCCAGGCCCCGTCCTGCCCCAGAGAAGGAAGAGTGGGGGGTGGGAGGGGGGAAGCTCTGACTTTGGGCCAAAGCATCCTGATTAGCAAGAAAGGCTCCTTCTGTCTTTTCCTGCTGGGCCAATCCTGGAGAGAAGCCGAAGGAGCGGAAGTGGGGAGGGGAACGAAGAGAGGAGAGCAACTGTCTTAGGCCGCAAAGGGAGGCACCATGACATGGAATAAACCTTTTAAGGAACTTGCACCGTGTGGCCAGGCAGAGACTCAGCAGAGTGGGGCAATCTATGGGGCTGCATTGGGGAGAAATCCGGAGAGCCAATCGGGTGGAAGAACTCCGCACTGGGGTGACGGGAGGGGGGGGAACTGTCAGAAAGGGGGGGGGGTGCGAGGCAGGGAGGGGCAGAACTCGTGCCAAGCACCTCAGTTGCACTCCTGCGCCTGTGGGGCTGCTTGCCGCGTGGCCCAGCTCCAAGGACCACGAGTGTGGAGCGCATGGCCTTAAGGCACCGAGGTCCTTAACAAAATCCCCGGGGTGGACATGGCCTGGAAGGCCCTCCGGTCTCAGGGTGTTCAGAGCATTTGTGCTGGGCTTTTCCGCAGGCCCCTCCCGCTCTAGGCTCTGACCCAAGCAGCCCACCCCCCCGGGCTCACCGACAGAGGTGGGCATCTCCCCCCACTGCAGGACCACGTCCTTGATGATGCGACCAAAGGTGTTGACGTAGACGCCCTCGTCCTCGTAGCACAGGAGCATCTCCATCCCGTCCGTGTTTGGCAGGAAGACGATGGCGTGTGGGGTGATCTGGGACTGGATCTGGGGGCCCAGAAGGAGCGACAGTCATCCCCATCTGGCCTCAGGCAAAGCAGGGCTGGGGGGGGGGGGAAACAGACTCCTCCAAAGGGCCTCCCTCCCCCACTCACGTGGACCGGGATGTAGATGTCATAGTTGTTTCCAGAGTCCACGTCGATGGCGTGGAACCCAGCACAGGAGCCGTAGATGACCTTCAGCCGCTGGCCTTCCTCCACTGTCAGCTCCACCAGCAGCGGCCGATGCGGCAGGTCAGCGAAGGACTGCAGGGCACCCACAGGGGAGATTTTGACGGAAATTACTCCCCGGGGTGCCTGGGGGGGGCATAGGGCACCCCCCCTTCCCCGGCCCCTCCACCCACCGCCCGGTACCTTGAAGGCCATGAACTTGTGGTAGGGCTTGGGGGCCCAGGCATAGACCTCCACCGAGCTCTTCAGCGCAATGACCAGGAACTTGATTCGCTCGTACTTCACTGCGGGCGACAAGGAGCCCCGTCAGGGCCAGACTCTCAGAGGGCCCCCAGAGGGGAGGAGCGCAGTTCCCGTTGCTTAGGGGAGACCAGGGAACTCCCTGATGCTCTTCGCCGTGGACCCCCAATGGGGTGTCCTTCGGCAGGCCGGCCCCTGCTCACCCACACGGTAGTGAATGCAGCCCTCCATGTCCCCCACGGTGGTCCAGCCCTGCTTCTTCTCCACTTCAGGGTCGTTGTGCAAAATCTTGTTCCGCAGCCAGGAGAGGTAATAGACGCGCAGCTTGTTCCTCTTTCCTAGAGAGGCAGGGAAGGGGCACCAGGTCACTGCGAGGCAGGAAAGGGGGAAGCGAAGGGCCCAAAGGGAGCGAAGGGCCTCGGGGGGGGGTCCCTCCTCTCGCGCCTATCAGCCCCTGACCTGATATGGTGGTCAGGAGGTTGAGGCCCTCCAGGACGTCCATCTGCTGGAAGCGCCGGCGGTTGATGAGGCTGTACACTTTGCCCTGCCC